AAAAAAAAATTTCGGACTTTATCTTATCTTCATGGTGAAAATGGCTACCGAATGCTATTTTTGTGTGAAAATTTTCGATTTTGTATTTTACATTTTTAATTTTATTATGCTATAACTATTTGAAAAATGTATGGATCAATACAAATTTTTCATGAGAAGTAGTATTTATATACATATTTCATTGGACATACTGTTTTTTTTAATCGGACCATTTCCCTTTATTTGAGGGGGGTTCAAATCTAAAAAATGCATGTAGAAAGTAGAACTTTTTCAACTTAACTTTTAAAAGTGTTCCGGAAAGTCTGACACTTTTATATATATCTTAAATTAAAGCTAATGTAATATACTTTAATTTGAAAAAAAAAAATTTGACCTCTGGACTTGTCTTCATGGTGAAAATGGCTACCGAATGCTATTTTTGTGTGAAAATTTTCGATTTTGTATTTTCCATTTTTAACTTTATTATGCTATAACTTTTTGAAAAATGTATGAATCATTACAATTTTTTTATGAGAAGTAGTATTTATATAGATCTTTCATTCGACATACTGTTTTTTTAAATCGGACCATTTCCCTATATTTGAGGGGGGTTCAAATCTAAAAAATGCATGTAGAAAGTAGAACTTTTTCAACTTAACTTTTAAAAGTGTTCCGGAAAGTCTGACACTTTTATATATATCTTAAATTAAAGTTAATGTAATATAATTTATTATGGTAAAAAAAAATTTCGGACTTTATTTTATCTTCATGGTGAAAACAGACATCAAACTTAATAAAAACAATACGATTTTTGTAAAAAAATTCTTTTTTATATTTTTAAATTTATAATGCTATAACTTTTTGAAAGATGTATGGATCAATATAATTCTTTTTTTTATAGATGCATGATGTCGTTACCTATCATTTAGTATATATTTTTTTCATATCTGACCCTTTACCTGCCCACAGGGGGGGATTTAAAATGACAACTTTTTCACAAAAAATTAACTTTTTCAACTTAACTTTTGAAAGTGTTCCGGAAAGTCTGACACTTTTATATATATCTTAAATTAAAGCTAATGTAATATACTTTATTATGGTAAAAAAAAATTTCGGACTTTATTTTATCTTCATGGTGAAAACAGACATTAAACTTAATAAAAAAAATACGATTTTTGTAAAAAAATTCTTTTTTATATTTTTAAATTTATAATGCTATAACTTTTTGAAAGATGTATGGATCAATATAATTCTTTTTTTTATAGATGCATGATGTCGTTACCTATCATTTAGTATATATTTTTTTCATATCTGACCCTTTACCTGCCCACAGGGGGGGATTTAAAATGACAACTTTTTCACAAAAAATTTACTTTTTCAACTTAAATTTTGAAAGTGTTCCGGAAAGTCTGACACTTTTATATATATCTTAAATTAAAGGTAATGTAATATACTTTAATTAAAAAAAAAAAAATTGACCTCTGGACTTGTTTTTATGGTGAAAATGGCTACCGAATGCTATTTTTGTGTGAAAATTCTCGATATTATTTTTTACATTTTTAACTTTAAAATGCTATGTCATATTGAAAAGTGTATGGATCAATATTATTTTTTTATGAGAAATAATATTTTTTAATAATCTCTTTTTCATTCGACATACTTTATCTTAATTAGGATATTATTAATGAAAATTTTTTTACTAAAAACTGCCGTAACTTTTTCAAAAATGAACATATCAATATAGTTTTTTTTTATATAGATGTTTTATGTCTTTACTTATTATTTGGTATATTTTTTTTGTAAATTTGACCCTTTAACAGCCCACAGGAAGGGTTTC